CCCCCCCCCCCTCCCACCCACAAGCCTGTGGCTTGCTTAGTGCCCCAACACTGCCTGGCCTGGAGCCCCCTCCCAGAGCCAACATCTCCTTCTCCACCTCCTCCTGCATCCAGATTTCCTCCCAGAGCTTGCACCTCTCACCCCTTCCAACACCCAAATCCCTCATTCCCACCCCAGAGCCTACATATCCTGTCTCAACCCAGCGAAGGTACAGCCAGACTGCAGGAGTTTTTCAGGATTCTGGAGATATCTCAGAAACACTCTTCCGCATCTAGGGATGCATTTGTTCTTCCACTTTTTTTAGTGGAGGAGCAAACATGCTCTTTAGGTCACCCCTATATTCCTTTTTCCATGAGGAATAAGGGGGCTTCCCAACGAAGGGGTTTTTCTGACATTTGGTCCAGTCTACACAGGCCAAATGTTGGGAAAACCTCTTCCTACAGAAGAATTGGAAAAAAAGCAGCAGTATAAGGATTGGGGATAGCAAGTGGTGGAGAGGAGGAGAATAGAGAGGGCAAGGCTTCAAGGAAGGGGAAGGGCGGTAGATCTTGGCTTGGTCTGTCACTTAAAAAGTGATCTTGGGTGTAAAAAGGTTGGAGACCACTGGGGTAAGGTGATATACAAAAGGATCTGTAGTAGAAGTTTCCCACATAATGGAAGTTTAAGGATCACTATTCCTGACTTATTATTTAGAACAAAATAAATCCATTAAAGACTTCTACAAAACAAAGAGGAGCACATAACTTAGATCAGGGTGGGGAACCTATTTTGGGTTGGGGGTCGCTGACCCACAGAAAAAATCAGTCAGGGGCCACATACAAGTGAGGAGCCCCTGACTGAGGAGAAAGACACTCCCCACATTCCCATTACATACCAGAGCCTAGAGGGGCCCAGGCTAGTAGATTTTGTGTGCTCCAGCCCAATGGGTGGATGGCGGGGTGGGGTTAGAGCACCAGCACAGTCTCCCCAATGCTGAGCCTAAAGGGCCAGATCCAGGTAAGCTGGGGGCCACATATGGCCCCTAAGCCTGAGGTTCCCCACCACTGGCTTAGATCTTCCAAGAAAATGTGATTTATATGCACTTGTATAATTTGGAGGAATATTAGGCACATATTCACTTTACATTTATGAATTTGTTGGCCAAGATAATACCCTTGCACCACATAGTGACTGTCACCGTTAGCATCTTGTAAAAAAAATCAAGATATCCACTGAATAGTGGGCCTGGGTATTGAATCAGTTTGAGATATAGATGGGGGAGCAAATTTAGAAATCTCCGTCTCCAAGAGTTTGGAAAAGGAGCAAAAGATAGCCATGATATTCCTGAGCTGGTGGGAGGGTTTGGAGGATGCAAACTGGTGGATCCACATGAAGTTTGAGTAGGCATTTACTGCAGAAAAATGGAAATGTAGGGCTGGAAAAGATCTCGGGAAGTCAAGTCTTGCTGAATGTTCTGAGAGAGGCCCAAATACACCAGTCAAGAATAGTTTACGTATTTATCTAGTCTGTTGTTAAAAAACCTTCAGTGCTTGGGATTCCTTTGGAAGCCTATTCCAGAGTTTACCTACCCTCATCGTTAGAAATATTTAAATCTCCCTTGCTACAGATTAAGCCCATTATTTTTTGTTGTGCCTTAGGTGGTTATGTAGAACAATTGATCCCTGTGGGTACGTCTACACTGCATCCCTAGTTCGGACTAGGGATGCAAATGGAGACGACCGAAGTAGTTAATGAAGCAGGGATTTAAATATCCCGCGCTTCATTAACATGATCTCGCCGGCGCGTTAGTTCGAATCACAGCTGATTCGAACCAGGAAGTGCACGCCGGGACGCGTTAGTTCGGACTAAAGCCCTTAGTCCAAACTAACATTACTCCTCAAAAAATGAGGAGTAACATTAGTTCGGACTAAGGGCTTTAGTCTAAACTAACGCGTCCTGGCGCGCACTTCCTGGTTCGAATCAGCTGTGATTCGAACTAGCGCGCCGGCGAGATCATGTTAATGAAGCGCGGGATATTTAAATCCCCGCTTCATTAACTACTTCGGTCGTCTCCATTTGCATCCCTAGTCCGAACTAGGGATGCAGTGTAGACGTACCCTGTCTTCTTTATAACATCCCTTAAGTATCTGAAGGGTTGTCCTATCATCAAGTCCACCTCAGACTCCTCCTCCTTCGCCCCTCCCCCACCCCAATCTAAACCTGCTCAGATTTTTAAATGTTTCCTCATAGGTCAGGTTTTCTAAAACTTTTTATCATGTCTATTGATCTCCTCTGGACAATCTCCAGATTGTCCACTTCTTTCCTAAAGTGTAGCACCCAGAATTGGATACTGTACTCCAGCTAAGACCTCACCAGTGCTGAACAGTGTTGGGCAGTTACTTCCCTTGTCTTACATAGCATAGGACACTTCTTTTTCACAACTACATCCCATTGTCAACTAATATTTCATTTATGATCCACAATAAACCCACATGCTTTTCAGCAGTATTGCCGTGTAGACAGTTATTCTTCATTTTGTAGTTGTGCATTTGATTTTTCCTTCCTGAGTGCTACTACTTCACTTATCTGTATTAAATTAAATCTGATTGAATGCAGACCATTTCTCCAAATTATCAATGTTCTCTTGAATTCTAATTCTGTCCTCCAAAGTGCTTTGACTCCCTCCAAGTTGGGTGTCACCTGCAGACATTCTAAGCATACTCTGTACTCTAGTATCCAAGTCATTAATGAAGACACTAAATAGAACCAGATCCAGAACTAACCCATTTGGGACTCCACTAGAGAAACCTTCACAGTTTGACAGCAAACCATTGCTATTGGTGTACAGTCTTCCAACCCGTTATGTCACCTACCTTATGATGCTTTCATTTAGATTGCATTTTCCTGATTTGCTCTTGAGAATGTCATATGTGACTAGCAAAAGCCTTATGAAAATCAATGTATGTCATGTCTATGCTGGAACACAGTTAAGATATAGATCATGTCTAAAAGAGAGATACTTTTGTGTTTTCTTAGCCTTCTGACTTAGATCAAGTATAGTATCAGTTTAATATTTTGTTTACTACCCTGTTTTTGTCATGTCTCTTCTCATCCCTATTTCCTGCTGGTTTCAGCTGAAATCTATAGTACAACTAACTTGACCTTCTTCTGTAGTCCAAACCAGGTTGCTGAAAAGGTAGCCTCCAGGATTGCAGAGGGCTTTAATGACCCAGCACTCATAATGGTATATAATTTCATTTCTCTCTTTTCTGATTTTAATCACAATATTGGAATGAGCATTTAAATCTAACTTCTTGGCTCTGTTACGAGTAATGTGATGATTAACTTGCTGAGTCGTCAGAGTGCCTTGTGGGGACTCCTTGCAGAGTATTCAAGCCATCTCTTTGGCCCACAGAACTGTGTTGCTGTGTTCTAAGGGGAGCCTACTTCTGGCCCTCCTCGGTCATGGGAAGATTTGCTGCGGTCTGGCTGGGGGGAGTAAAAGAGGTGTATTCTTCCAAAGCCTTTCATGATATAATGGCTTACATTCTCAGTGGGGCAACAGCAGCAATGGGCTACAGTGGAATGCTAGTGGTTTAAATAAAACCACTTTAGAGCGTTTAAAAATTGGCACTTCAAAAGCAGCAATGAGATGAAAGAGTGGGTGGATTAATGGAGGTGAATGGAAGATGCTGTTATGTGCAAAACCACACTATCATTTTTATACCACCTCTTTATTTGAGATCTTGAAGGAAAGAATATGATTTGTTCTTTTGCATGTTAGGTGGATAACACAAAATTTACGATGGAGTGCATAGAACCTGCCATTCACGTGTATGAGCATCATGAAAACAAATGGAGATGCAAAGACCCACATTTGTGAGTAATATGTTTGTATCTACGCTAGGGATGTTAATTATCGGTTAAATGAATAGTTGAGTAACCTCATGAATTCTTTTATCGGTTAGTCGACTATTCTATAGTCCCCAAAGGTGGGGCCAGCAGCCACTGTCTCGAGGCAGCAGCACGAGGTGCCATGCAGGAGCTGGTCTACAGCAGCATGGGATGGCAGCAGCCCCTGTCCATGGAGGGTCTGAGCTCCCAGACCCAGCACGAGCTGGAACTGAGCCAGGCTGCCTGCCTGTCTGGCTCCTAATACACTTTAAATGCAGAGCCGCAGCAGGGGTAGGTCCCAGACCCAATGTGAGCCAGGACTGAGCTGGGCTACTGGCCAGCCTGCTAAAAAAATTAGTGGTGGGCAGGGAAGGGAGAGGAAAATGCGTGTCATCAATAGCATTAACCTATAAGCTTTTGCTTATCAATTAATTGGTTAATCAACTATACTATTACATCCCTAGTCTAGGTTGTGATCAAAAGATGTTTCTTTGTGTTATATATGGAGCAAAATTGTCATCTTACACGTGAACAACATAATATATAGAATGTCTTTGAAAACTGGCAGTAATTGACCATGCTTTGGAAGCACTTTGTTTTTCATAATGTTGACAGATAACATTTAGCGTATAAAAACAAAACTCTTGTCAGTATTCTGCCTTCTCATCTATAGCCATGTTGCATCGTGCAATGGCTTATTTTCTAACTGAAAGATCTGATGGAGATTATTTTCCTTGTGGGACTAATAATACCTTGTTATTTTAATGTTCTAGTGATTATTGTGAAGACTGGTCTGAAGCCCAGAGGATCGCTGCATCTCTCTTGGACAGCAAATCCTATGAAACCCTTGTGGATTTCGATAATCACCTAGATGACATCCGGAATGACTGGACAAACCCAGAGATCAACAAAGCTGTCCTACACCTATGTTAGGGAGGCTTCTACTGACTGATTTATGGGCATTTCCACTATGCTGAAGATACTTTAAAAAATATTTTTGATTATAAATAGAAATATATTCAGAACCACCTGAGGAACGCCAACAGATTAAAAAAGTGGCATGTCACTTGGAAAAGGTAACATGCCCATAAGCAGTCAAATCTTTTTAATGAGAATCCTTAGAAGAAATACAAACTGTCAGTTAACAGCCATCCTTGTGGATTCCTTCCCAATTGTAGTGATTATTGCTATAACCTTTAAAACCAGAACTGCTTCTGTTTGTCCAAATTGTTCATATTAAAAAGTTTTGACTAACCTTTTATAATCTTTAGAGAGAATAATTTTTAAAGATTTATGACACATCTTTCAAAAATGAATCTTGTCCTTAGATGAGATGGTTTTTAAATTCATTAAGACGTGTGTGTGTAAACAAAATCCAGTGGTTACTGGTGTTTTGACCTAGTTCTTAACTGGCATTATATTGATGCAGTAGAATAATGCTAACTACTAAAGATTATACACTGTGCACATATTGTATTTGTTCTGCAGAAGTTTAGCATATCATAGCTGCAGAATAATAAATCCCGAAAGCAATATTCCCAAATGCTGCAGAGATTCCCAACCATGCTGGAACTACAACCTCAGTTGTTGCCTAAGAAATAGTTCTAGCCACAGTTTAAAACAAATCTTAACTCTATGGTCTGTGAAAAGGATTTAGAGCACATTAATGGTTTTGACTCAACGGCAAGGCTCTGTAAGAGTTGAAAAAACAAAGAGTAAAATGCCATCTTGATTATTTAAACAGATGCTCATAATTCTGAGCTGATTCGCACACTGTCCATTCAGATAGTCCTGAAATGTAAATTAAAAGCAACTGATCAGTCTTTAGCATATGGATCAAAGAAACCTTGAAACACTCTAGTTTGTCTTAAATCTATCTTTCTAATTAGTATCTGTTTCTAACAAAAGTTCACCAGTTGATGGGGACCCTTTATAGCAGAATTTCCTTTGTCATTTTTATATGTATTATTTTGTACCAGGTATCCCAAAGGCATTATACCTTACTTTCTGTTTTTCTTTTAACTATGTTACTATAGAACTTGTAACAACTTAACCTGGTGTACCTAATGAAAGGATTAATTTTATATCATTCAACACTTTCTAACAGTAACAGCAAATGGAAGGACAATGCTTTAGCTGACCAACTGCTATTGTAGCTTGTCCCCCACCACCTGAAAATAAACTTGATGATGTGGGGAATGTCAGTCAGATATTTTGTGGCATCTTTGGTGGGGTTGGGTGAGGAGAGAGGAGGTAGGGAGGAGAGGGGAACACAAGATAAGTAGATTGTCATTGGCTGCATAGTAAGGTTAGAGCATAAATTTGTCTGACCTTGAAAGACCTGAATTCAAGTCTTAATTAGATCAGAAATGAAGAGAATTTGGTGTTTTGTTCATAATAGGTATTTAGTACACACATAAGTTGCAGCATAGTTTGTTCAAAGTCTTTTCCTAGGTTCCCTGCCAAAAAAAAAAAAACCCTTTCACAATGATTCAGATGCTGTATTTTTTTTTTTTATTTATTGAAGCCTGATCTGGTTTTGAAACGTGCCCAAAAAGTAAGGGATGAGATTTTTCAAAACCACTCTTAAGTTGACCTAGCTGTGCTCCTATGTAAGTCAATGGGAGTTTTACCATTGTTTTCAATGGGATCAGAATTAAGACCAAAATCCCACTCTAAAGTAATAGTTGTGAATGAGGCTTACAGAAATTAGTGCTCCCTTTGTTTCAGAGTAATAAAGTACTTTAGAGAAGGATGAAGCAGACAATTGGGGAAGTAAAATGCTGAATGGGTCATTGCTGAACAGGTGAGACTGTAATCCAGTTGACAACCTGCGAAACGTATTTCAGGTGCTGCACTCCCACAGATCTAAATGTACTCACCAGTGGGAAGTTCCCAGCCGTACACATACAGAAGAAACATTTCCAATCATGCATATTGTATAAACAGAACTTTTCAAGATGTTTGCAGAACATAAGGCAAAGCTTAGCCTGTTCTTTCCGGAACAGAAGATGTTGTTTGCTCCTTTTTGACCCGCATGGTTAAGTCAAAGTTTGTGGCCCTGTAATCGATCCACATGGGAGCAGAACTTGATGATAGTTGGGTGTTTCTTTGATGTGGTTTTCTTTATTTACAAAGAGTGTCTAAAGAGGTGGGCAATAAGCAGACCACGGGCCGGATGTGGTTCACCTGGGTGAGCCCCTGCCGTGCTGTGATATTCTTTATTTATCTGCATGTCTGCAGGTACGGCCCCTTGCAGCTCTTTATGAACACTATACAGGACTACGTAGCACTTTAAAGACTAACAAAATGGTTTATTATAAATATTATAATAAACTATCTTGTTAGTCTTTAAAGTGCTACATAGTCCTGTATTTTGTTTCAGCTACACCAGACTAACATGGCTACATTTCTATCACTATTCTTTATGACCACTGTTTGTCATTCTTGGCCAACGAGACCTGTGGGACGCGATGGCCTGGCCTGCATTGCTTCCCGCAGCTCCCATTGGTAGGGAACGGTTAACTGGGGCCACTAGGAGCTGTGAGCAGCCATATCTGCAAAGGCCCAGGTAAATAAAGTATCTGGCAGCCTGCCAGAGGCTAACCCTGGTGAACCGCATTTGGCCTGTGGTCAGCTTATTGCAGATCTCTGATGTACAAAGTGCTGTGTCTGAATGCTGGTGGCATCAGATAACAGGAAACTAGCTTCTTTTGCTCACCACTCCAAGAGCAATCTTTTCACCCTGCCCTCCTGATTCTCAAAAAAGTTCTCTGGGTCCAGCCACATACTTTTAGCTGCTTCTTTAGTCCATCTCAGTCTGTCCTCAATTTGTGTGTGTGATCTCCTGCCAGTACACGTAGGGTCACCCTATCTAGTCAAGCAATCTACCCATGTGGTGCTGATCCTGTTAGACTTCACTTTAAGAGTGGCCTCATAACTGTGTCTCACACCTGACTTAAACAGGGGACTCACTTGTTCAGAGATCAGTTTAGAGGTTGTAACTGAACATAACAAAGTTTCACTTAGCTTAATAGCATTATCTTAACAAGGCACTGGGATTTGATGTGGTTGCATGAACAGTCATTAAATAGCCTCAAAATACAAACTGATATTTCTGTTACGCTATAGGTACTGTTTCTCATTCTTCTCAACTAGAGATCACATAATCAAGCTTTTGACATGCTAATTTGTTTTGGCATATACTCAGCTTTTATCCAGATAAGGCTTTCCAAAATGCTAAATGCTTCGTAAATTAGGGCTGTCAAACGATTGTGCAATTAATTGCATGTGCTGCCCCTTTGAAACGCCAGGGTGGTGCTTCAAAGGGGCAGTGCTGCACAGCTGACCCCAGGTGCTGCCCCTTTGAAATGCCAGGGCTGCTGCATTTCAAAGGGGCAGTGCTGCCTACAGCCCAGGGTCAGCTGGGGACTCCAGCTGATCCCAGGCTCCTACTGCACTGCCCCTTTGAAACTCCCTGGCAACATTTCAAAGGGAGCAGCGCTGTAGAAACGCCTGCACTTAACACGTTAAAAAAAGTGTTAAACGCAGAGCACAATTATCACCGGCATTAAGGGGTGTTAATTTACAGCCCTAGTAAAGAACAAATTTTTTTAGCTGTAAAATAAAATTAACTCAAAACAAAATATGTATCATTGGGGGCTCTACTCTGATAGAAACGATCACTGCTTTTGCTGACTGAGAAGCAGCAGTGTGGTGTTAAACATTAAAGAGACTGCTGGAAAGGATTGGAAAGAAGCACCATATGGTGTCCTCCCCTCCCATCTTTCCCTTGTTTGCTTGTATGTTTCTGATGAGGTCCAATGGACATTTGCCCACCAATAAAGCCAGAGGCTGGTTTTAAACAAATACACACAAAGCAGGTTCCCCACCCCCCTCATTTGCATAGAAGGCTGGACAAAAAGCAACAGTGTTATAAAGACCAAGCTTGTTCTTGTTGGTAAACTGGAAAAGGAAGAGAGAGGAAGCAGGGGGCAATCTCTGGGAGGATGGATCTCTGCCTGCCTGTTGATCTTGCTGCCAGTCTAGATCACTGTGTGAGCAGCTGTATTTTTCTTGGCTTGGGCAGCAGCTGGATGAATTAAAGAAACGCAAGGTAACTTTTTTTTCACTTTCAGGGAAGAAAGCTGGGGGGAGGCGAAAGTCTGCATTCCTATGAGAACTCTGATTTTTCCCCCCCTCTACTTCAGTGTCATAACCACCATTGTTCTGGCTGGGAAGACTATTTTCCAAGCATATCCCTCTTTAATCAGCCCCAACAGGCCATCAAGGAAGGCTATGCAGTGGTCTCCTCTCTCTTCCTCTTGCTGACAAATGTCTTATGTTCCTGCTTGGACAGTTTCTCTGGCTTTGCCAGCCCAAGGTGCTTTGATCAGATACCAAACACTAGCCTTTCTGTCATGTCTGACTGCATTTGGGTTCTCTATTATCGCCATTGCTATTGTATGAGCACTTGAACAGACGGAGAGGCCTCCTAGTTATTGGTATGGCTAGGAGGCTATTTCTCATCTATATTTGTGTTTGAAAGATTTGTGGTGAACGGTTCTAACAAATAACAAATGAATAAAAAAACCTAGCAGCTCAAAAATGTTTTTGAATAAATACAGGCAATCGGTGCCAAAAGTGAGGGCATTCTGAATGACTTGGAGTGTAAAGTGGTTGGTGGTGGGTTTTTTTCATGTGCTCTTTGCCCCGTTGCAGGCTCCAGCTTCATGACAGACTCTGGAATCAGTGTCCATGATAGCTCCTTTTAGGGTGAAGAGGGGAAGCTGGCACAGTGCAGCATGTTGTTTTGAATTAAATCCTGCTTTCTTCCCAAGCAGCTGTCTAAATTAACTTGCAACCTAAGGAGGCTAGGTGACATGCTGAAGGACACACAGCATGCAGCTCCCATATCTCTAGCTCTTCTCACCCTTGGTTCGTCTAATCACTAGGCACCATGGCCAAGATTTCCAAAAAACACGCTTCAGAGGGGGCCTCTCCTTCAGAAACACTCAAGTTCCTGCCCTCTGGAAATCTGAACTCTCGAAAGGTATTTTCAGTTGGACACCAAAAACCAGAGGCATCTAGAATGACTAGACGCTCTTGGCTGGTATGACGGGGGTAGCTATGTTAGGGTACAGCTACACTGCACAGCTATTGAAATAGCTACCCCCACCCCCATCTTCACAAGCCACCCGTTTATTTCAAAATATATTTTTGAAATAACGGGAGCGCTATTTCAGCATTCCGGTAAGCCTCATTCCATGTGGGTTATGAATGTCTCAAAATAGCATGTTATTTTGAAATTTGGTGCTGGGTAGGCATGCCAGATTCCGAAATTGCCTATTTCAAAATTCAGTCGAAATAAGATACTCAATTTGCATAGTGCAAATTGCGTATCCGATTTCAAGTTTAGGGTGCTGTCTAGACGCACCCTTTCTCTGTTTCAGCAAAAAACAAGGAATCCGGTGGCACCTTAAAGACTTGAACACGTTTATTAGCACATAAGCTGTTGTGGGCTGCAACTTGCTTTGTCGGCGCGTGAAGTGAAAGCTTCACTTGGTAGGGATTTATACATACCTATCGCTCCTATAGGGAGCTGATAATCAATAGAACATGGGACTGCAAGAACTGGTGTACACTGGGATGGCTGGGCTAAGTGATGGTTAAAGGGATGGCTAATATCTAGGAACTGGGAGAGGGAGGGTTGGCTACAGGGGATATTTAATTCTATATGATGCAGTTTGCTGTGCTGTAAGTAACGAGGAAGCTTTTCTTCTTTCCTGTGACCGTGCAGCTGAAGTGAGAGGCTGAGTGCTTTGTCGGTGTTCTTTTAGCTTAAGCAAATTGGCGCATTTTTGACCCACGTCTCTTCTTCGTAATTCCAGGCTTGCAGGCTGCCTGTTGCCAGCTTTAATCAGGATGCTCTTTGTACAGCAAATGTTTATATAGAGAGAAACATGCTGCTAAAACACAGGACTTGGCTATCCGCTATTAAGGGGTCCATAAGCCTGATAAGACTCTAGATAAACAGAGTGGGATGCCAGAGACTGGATTCTTTTCCCGTTTCGTCACAAACTTTGTGCGATCTTGAACCAATCTCTTGGGCTCAGATCCTCAATTGGAGTTAGGGGCCTGTACACCTTTGATTTAAGCCTTCAGGCTTTGGAGGATCTGGGTGCTAGAGCCTCTTTTCAAAGGT